CCCCCCCCCAAAGTGCACAGAGTGAGAAAGGTTTATGATACTCATCTTGGTGAGACCAATACAAATTTCAAAGAAAATAATGCAAAAATTGAAGTGGATGGTCATATATGTATAAATGCGGTTGGTGAGACGCACAGACAACTCTTGTTCTCCTCAGGTCCGATAAACAAGATTTTTTTTTGTCTGGCCTTATGTGTGATAATGTAGAGATGACACTCTTGTGCTAAAGATGACTTCTGGATTAAAAGATTAAAAATTGATATGATATGAATTTCCCTTTAAATGTCAAAGTACACCTTTTACATTAATGAATCTTTTTAACTGAAACCATGGTAAGCGAAAATAACGTTCAAAAAGTAATATACAAAAACTACCAAGTGAATTAGTAGATGCAGGTAGACGCAGCGTGACTGCACTTACTAGGTAGAAAAACAGTGACTGCAACTACATATAGAAATAGCATGACTGCAACTACAGGTAGAAACAGCATGACTGCAACTACAGTAGAAACAGCGTGACTGCAACTACAGGTAGAAACAGCATGACTGCAACTACAGTAGAAACAGCATGACTGCAACTACAGGTAGAAAAAGCATAAGTGCAACTATAGATAGAAACAGCATGACTGCAACTACAGTAGAAACAGCATGACTGCAACTACAGTAAAAACAGCATGACTGCAACTACAGGTAGAAACAGCATGACTGCAACTACAGGTAGAAACAGCATGACTGCAACTATAGGTAGAAACAGCATGACTGCAACTACAGTAGAAACAGAATGACTGCAACTACAGGTAGAAACAGCATGACTGCAACTACAGGTTGAAACAGCATGACTGCAACTATGGGTAGAAACAGCATGACTGCAACTACAGATAGAAACAGCGTGACTGCAACTACAGATAGAAGCAGCATGACTGCAACTACAGTAGAAGCAGCATGGCTGCAACTACAGTAGAAACAGCATGACTGCAACTACAGATAGAAGCAGCATGACTGCAACTACAGTAGAAACAGCATGACTGCAACTACAGATAGAGCAGCATGACTGCAACTACAGTAGAAACAACATGACTGCAACTACAGTAGAAACAGCATGACTGCAACTACAGATAGAAGCAGCATGACTGCAGATAGAAGCAGCGTGACTGCAACTACAGATAGAAACAGCATGACTGCAACTACAGATAGAAGCAGCATGACTGCAACTACAGTAGAAACAGCATGACTGCAACTACAGTAGAAACAGCATGACTGCAACTACAGATAGAAGCAGCATGACTGCAACTACAGTAGAAGCAGCATGACTGCAACTACAGTAGAAGCAGCATGGCTGAAACTACAGTAGAAACAGCATGACTGCAACTACAGATAAAAGCAGCATGACTGCAACTACAGATAGAAGCAGCATGACTGCAACTACAGATAGAAGCAGCATGACTGCAACTACATGAAGCAGCATGACTGCAACTACAGTAGAAACGGCATGACTGTAACTACAGTAGAAACAGCATGACTGCAACTACAGTAGAAACAGCATGACTG